TACAATACATCATAAAATGTAAATGGGCAAACCCTAAGGGATTAACCAATAATTCTATACCTCAGTGACAGGGAACACGAAATTACTTTAATATAAAAAATAGTAAACTGTCATTATTAAGTAACCACATTTATTTTTATAAAAATAGTATACTAGATATTAGGTTAGGAGATTTCCTTTAAATTCAATAATAATTATAATCAAACTTATATGATATATTAAAAAACAATCTTTGCAAAAAAATATTTTCTCATAAGACACTCATATTTCGTTTTTAGAAATTCCATATAAATTTGTCTGTTTGTTTGTATTTTGGGTACTAGCGTCATATAAAATACGTCGTTCTCTTCCGATAAGGAGTCATCATCATCAGTTTCCTCACTTCCCACAGAAATAATAATTGGTTCTATTGTTTCCTCTATTAACATATTAAGTTTCCAGAATTTCTCTTCCTCTGCTATGACATGTCTTATAACATTTTGCTCATTGTCCGGTGAAATTTTCATATGGAGTCACATAATAGTTGATAAACATCTTGTTTAAATGTTGTATCCCTTTATTTGAACCCAGTCGGGTTAGGTTCACAGTGATAAGGTAGTAACCGCAACACTTTAACTCGATGTTCTTTTGCTATTTCATCTACACAATACTTTTGGTAAATCTTGTTTACTTAACTGCAATAGCTCTTTTGGAGAGTTTTTACTTTTTCCATTTGGTGTTAGGTAACGGTTCCTTTAATCCTTAATGATAACTGGCATTGTCCATAAATATTACAGAATTGATCGGTAACAAATCTATTATTTGACTGAAATATTCCTCAAAAAAATCAGAAGTCATTTCTTTATGGTAGTCTTTCGTAGAGTTTGAAACAAATTATAACAAGCCTCTATCAACAAATTCTTTATCTCCTCCAATATGAATGATAATTAATGGGCGACTTTTGCCATATAGAAATTTTAAGCCAGTAGACAAACCTTTTATAAATGCCTGACGAGCATTTGTAACCTCTTTATCTCGCCAAACTATTTTTACAGAATATCCTTCATTTATCCATGTTTTATTCAAATAAAAAATATTTTTGTCTTCTCTTCCTAATTTTTTAATTTCCCTTAAATACTGCCTCCTACATCAAATAATTTCATCTTTCTTTATGAGCACAGATTTTTTATCGTTCTTCTCCCAAACGAAGTCTAATTTATGTAAAGTTTTCCACAATTTGTCTCTTTTAACGTTTGGCAAAATTTCGTCTCCATTAATGTCTACTAAAAGTTTATCCAGAGTAGGTATCTTTTTTAGTAAATAAAGTAAATGCACTACTTTTCTTTGGGTCAGTTGTTTCATAGTATCATCTGGTTGAATTGGTTTTCTCCCAGTTGACGTTTTAGGTGCTACTTTAATACTTCCATCCTTTAGTTGCTTCAAAAGTTTATAAATGGTTGCTTCTCCAACTCCGGTCAATTTAAAGTTTTCATATGCACGGTTAAATTGGCACTTTAATTTCACAGGAGGATAATCAGACGTTTGTGTCATTTTTATTGCACAAATACACTTGATCAATATCGCTTTTTATGGCCTATTACTACAGAACTAAAAATTCTTTGTGTTCCAATCACAGGACTATACAAACAGAAATGTAAATCTTAACTAAAATAATTTACAATATGCATAACGCTTTTTGCCGATTGAAAATTTTAATCCTTTCTAAGAAAGTTGAGGGCTACGTAAATTGATCTTGAATTGTAAATATTTTCTATCTCTACCTTATTTTTGTTGAATAAAACGACTAGAAAATTTAAGACAGGAATTGAAATAAATTGGTAATTTTAAAAATTTTAGGAAGAAAACCAAATATTTTATTTTGGAACAAATATTGCTAAACATTTTATTTTAGAAATTCTCCGTCACTGATTTATTAGGTTATATTGGGGTTTATTTCTTAAGGCATAAAAATTTTGGTATCATTAATTTTCAAATAAACTAAAGTGACGTCACCACTTTCGTGTACATGACGTCTTCGATTTTTTTTAAATAGAACACGCAGTTGTCTGATTTTTGAATTCCCCAAAGACCGGCAATTACAAAAACCTATGTAAGTAATACTTATAGTCAGTCCAAAGTCATTGGTTTGTGGATTAGAGACAAGTGTAATATCAGAAATTTTAAATTTAAAATTTTAATGAAAGGACTATACTAATAACAACTAGGTAATTGATAATGTAGTATTTATTGTTTGACGTTAGTTTTGTAAACCAAACTCATCCATGACCAAACCAACAAATTATTTTGTCAAAAATGAAAACAATATTAGATGACCCGTCAAATGCGCCCCATTAAAAGCGCCCCAACAAATGCACCACCCGACATATGCGCCTGACAAAAGACAAAATTAATTTAATTTTAAATCATCAAAACAGAGGTTTATAATTTTATGTTGAACATATACTGCCCTGCTTAGCTAAAACGTCCTATCTGATAAAATTTCAGCTACAATATAAAGATATAAATAAAGCACTTGTTTCTTACATTCAGTTTCGTCTTAATATTAAAGACAATATGGAAACAAAATCATTAACATCTCAAAACTATCCTCATGTCAGATAGGACGTTTTAGCTGAGCAGGACAATAATATAGGGGTGTCCCATTAGTGCGTAATTGTTCAATATTTCAATGTGTTACAGACACGCAAACAAGTTTTTTATAAAAGTTATATGGATTTCAGAAATTAATTTTTTTAATTTTTGGATATACAGGATGTTGCGTTTTCGCCTGGCTAATAAAAATATATATTTTTTAAATAGAGTGGTAATATTTTATTCAAACCTAAAATGTTTTTAAAAAACATTACAGGTTTGCCAAGCAATTAATTTTTTTATGAAATTAGATAATGATGCAGACCCAAAATTAAATTATCACAATTTAGGTAGGTTTACATTGATTTCAAAATTGTTTGAATAACAGACTTATAAGATACTAAGCTAACGAATACTGGTGATGTAACTGGTTTTTTTATACAGAGTGTTTTGGAACATGTCTTAAATATGGCTAATTTTAAGTTCAATTTAATCAATTTTTTCAAATGCAACACCCTGTATATTATTTTAGTAACTAATTCCTTATATTTTTTTTTTCAAAGATTCCAACACGTTAGCAAATAACACATATATAGGGTGTCCCATCAATGCGTAATTGATCGATAGCTGTTTTATTATTGGAAATACGAAAAAAAATAATACAAACTTGTATGACCATATTAAATAATTATTCCTAAATATACAAGGTGGTCCATAAACGAGGTCTTGAACAAACCTATACTTTTTTAAAGCAAAACACCCTGCAGGTAATTATACATATTTGATTGTTTTCACATTGTCAAACAATTTTAGTAGACTTCATTCATGTGCTATGTTGTATAAAGGAGGTTACGATTTTCTTAATTTTTTTAATGGAAAGGGTATTAATTAATTGGTACAGGGTATTACATTTAAAAAATTGAGTAAATTGTTACATCGCATTTTAATACACCCTATATACAACATAGTAAGTAAATAAAGTCTATTAAAATTGTTTGACGATGTGAAAACCATCAAATATGTATAACTACCTGCAGGGTGCTTTGCTTTAAAAATGTATAGGTTTTGTCAGCTCCTCGTTTATGGACCACCCTGTATATAGAAGAATAATAATTGTTAAATATGGTAATACAACTTTTATATTAATTTTTGTTTTCGTATTTCCAATAATAAAACAGCTATCGATCAATTACGCACTGATAGGACACCCCATATATTGTATATATGTTCTTGGCTAATATGTTGATTTAGTTGGATAGGTAAATTTATATTGTATTTTATTTAAAAAAATTGAGTAAACTGAACTTAAAATTATCCAAATTTAAGACATGTTTCTAAATACTCTGTATAAAATATTCTAGTTGTATTACCATTATTCGTTAGCTTATTATCTTAATCAATATTATAAACAATTTTAAAATGTAAACCTACCATTATTATGATAATTTAATTTGGGGTTTCATCATTCTCTAATTTCATAAAAAAATTAATTACATGTCAACCCTGTAATATTTAAAAAAAAGTTAGGGTTGCATGCAATATTATCAAACCATTCTGCTGAAGTAAAATACAGGATTAATCTATTTAAAAAATATACATATTTATTTGCCAGTTAAAAACAGTAGAGCAAAATTATGCGTAGGTAATTGTCATTAAATTTTGAGTTATACTCATTTATTTTTAATCAATAAATATTTAATGAAATACGTTCTATTCTTCATTTTGTATACGCACCAAATAATTTAAATACACAAAAATATACTATCTATATTTTTTAAGATACAGAAAAAAGATACTAATAAAAGTTTTTAGATTTATGTTGAACTGTAAAATGCAGATAAAGATATAAATAAAATACAGCATAGGTAAATTTAATATAAAAAATATCGGGTATAAACCTCCATCAACATTCTCCTACGAAATAATACAATCCATTCCCGAACCTCCATATGGGAAAACAAATAGTTGAAAAATTAGTAATCAGTTTAAAAAAGTGCAATTGTCGGGTAACCAATAAAAACCTACGATGTTTCAGTTCAATAAAATTTTAAAATCAAAATTTCTCATATAACATTTGTCTCTAATTCACAAACCAATGACTTTTATTATTACATATATTTTTGTAATCGTTTATTATTGGAGAATTCAAAAATGAAGAGCAAAATATGTTGAAAGTGTGTGAAAGTGGTAACGACATTAGTAGGTACATCCAATTGTAGCTTACGAGGCGCAGTTGAAAATAAAAATTGACCTTATAGAAGCATTTTGTTAAAAACTGTTTGACAAAAAAATATTGAATTTATTCCAACCTATACGTCCTAACTGTATACAATAAAATTAAAATATTCAATTAATTGTCACTTTGTTACGATCCTCTCTAATCTATTTTGAATTTAAAACGTTTCTTTTACATATACATTTCTTTTCAGTTTATTCTTAAATCACTTTGTGTCTGGGCAATAGTCGTAGAAATTACAGTGTGTCTATCTCCAACCGCCATAGTAGCCATAGCGAAAATTCAAAACAAAAAAGCTAAAACCCTTGCTTCCGCGCTAAACTGGAAAATTAAAAACGGCTACAAAAGAGCTTTAGCGAAGTCAAAAAAGCCTAGAGCACTTCTAGGAGATCGATTTATCAGAGACGTAGGAGTACACGATGACTTAGATGGAGTTAATTTCAATGATTTACCATCGGATCATGTTAACAAATTCACAGATGAAAAATTGTCAGGTAATTCTGGTATGGAAAAAGATCTAAATATTAATTCCGATAAAATTAAAGGAAAGTCTAGCGAAGAAAGTTCGAGCTCGAGCCAAGAAGAATCCAGTGAAGAAAAATCCAGCAAAGAAAAATCCAGCAAAGAAAAATCTAGCAAAGAAAATTCCAGCAAAGAAAAATTTAGCGAAGAAAATACTGGTAGTAACGAAAAATATGGGTGAGTTGATAATATTAAGTATTTTTTAGGTTAAGTAAAACTAATTTTCAAAATACTATCCTCTAGAATCTATACATTTTTGTATACACTTGATCCATTCTTCGAAACATGTTTTCCAGTCTTCTGGATTTTGATTTTTTTACATAATTACATGATTTTTAAACGAGTCAACACCTTCTTCTGTTAAAAGGCTAGGTTAAAACGCTATAGTGACAGATGAGCACTTTTTTCAGGAATTATAGTTCAATAAAGTTTTGTTTTTTGCATTAACGCAGACAAATCAGTTAAAAATACATTACTTATAACTAAAGTGATCGTATAAAACTATAAAAATGTATGAAACACATGCAAAAAGTTATTTTTTTGTACTTCCGTGTTGCCAAATTCAACATTCGGTTTCGTTTTACAATTTTCAAGTCGTGTGCAGAAAAGTTGCACTTTTTGCACTTGTACATACAGAACTATTGTGTTGATCGTTGTCAAACAATTTTGCAGGGAAACGAAAGCGTATCAAGACGTGTACAGGAGAAAAAATTCTGATGGCAAGAACAAAGAAAACCTTGATTTGCAAATTGAATACCTAAAACTGCAAAATTACAAGACCAAATTAGAAATTTTACAGTTAGAAACTGCACTACACCGTCAAAGATCTGAATTTACCCAATTTTTTGCTGTTACAGACATTCCATACGGGCAGGACTAGCGTACCACATACATGAATCTTTAAATTTTGAAACCCTTTTTACTAATAGGTTAATGTAGTCATTGGTTGCATAGAAATAAATTTGGTTTTTTTGTTTCATACTAATTTATTCTAAAATAATCAATCAACTGTAATTGGAGGAGGTTCATTATCTCTGGGATTGTTTTCGTCAACTTCGTCATCATAACCATTTAATCCCACATCGTCTTCATTGTTTTTTGTAATATTACACAATGTTGCACAACATTTAAAAATGTTTGCTGCGAAGACTGGATCAACTCGTAAGTAGTTCAAACATGGAAATTTTTCTTTCAATACGCCTAAAGCGTTTTCTATAATACGAGTCCGTTTATGAGCTCTGTTGAAAGCGGTCTGCGCTGGGTTCATTGGATTATCATAGGAATCGCCAAGAATTATAGCATTTGCATGAGGTCTCCAACTATTTTCCATTCTACGAAACAGAGAACTGTTACGAAGTACTCACGCATCGTGTACACTTCCGGGCCAATTTGCACTTATATAATAAAACTTTAAGTCAGGCCCACACACAGCCATGCAATTGATTGAATGCTTACCATGGCGGTCGACGTAAGTGGGTTCGTTATTCGTGGGGGCATCGATGTTTATGAGGGTTCCATCTACAATTCCACAAACCTCAGGAAATCCAGCCAAATTATGAAAGCGTTCTACTACGTTCCCTGTATTATCGGGCCATCGAATTAATGCATCAAATTTTATTTCGTTTACAGAAGCAACAACTTCGTGAACACATCTGCAGACGGTCATTTTTGACACTCCATGCATGTCACATACCCCATGGTATTGCCCTCCGTTTCCAAACCAATGCAGAGCAATAAGCAGTTTCTGTAATGGTGATAAACCGTACCATCGAATCGTTTGATTAGCGATTGCTGGGCCTATATCTTGAAGAAGAGTTTCACACTGTTCTCGATAGAGTCTGAACCTTTCCAAAAATTCCCCGTCTGTCACAATGACAAAGTTAATTCTCTCCCGGTACCGATACACTGCACGATCATTTTCATGGTATACAAAATAGAAGGTAGGATATCAACAGTGTCAAAAATAGGACGGCCACGCGCATGGCGTCACGCGTAGAGTTTGTATAGGCGCGAATTTAAAAATATTAACGAAGTATGAGGAAAATATGTGCTAACTTATAGAAATTTGATGAATATTAAGGATAATATTTTAGAAATTACATGAAATATCTATGGATATTATTGTGGGATAGTTAAGGAAAGAACTATGAAGGAACATAAATGCAAATACATACATAAGAGAAATATTTTTTTGAACAGTTTTTCCTTTTTTTTAATGATTTATTTTGTTTATACAAATTCGACTTCTAAAGAATAGTTTTTATAACCAGGATAATAAAATAAAGGGTATCTTTGCAACTCGAAACTGGGGATCCTGGTAACAATTTTACATCTGGATATGCGGGAAATTTTTACCTGATTAGGATTTGCAACTTATTTACCTGCATTATTTTACCCAATTGAATAAAAATAAGTTTAAACAATTTTTTTTTTCATATAGTATAATGCAGAAATTCATATTGTAATGCAAAACATAAAAAAATGTACCAAATACAAATAACTGTTACAATACAAAAATAAAATAAAATGTCGCTGCATTTTTCCTGGACCTAGTCGCTGACAGTTTTTAAATCGTTCATCAAGTACAAGTTCTTTTTTTTTGGTGACATTTACAATTTTATTTTTGCTTATATTGAGAAATTTTTAGCCTTTAAAGGGTAGAGCCTCCAGTTTAGAAATCCCAAGTTGTGAATTAACCAATGTGATTCACACTGGTTCATTCACAACTTCACATTATGTGAAGTTCTGATTTAAGATCTCTCTTATAATTGGAAGGTTGAAAGTGCTTGGAATACATATGAAAATTTATCTGCAGGGTCACAAGCCACTGAAAGGGCTGCTTCATGCCTAATTTTCTTGGGAAGGATGGTAGAATTGCCTGTTTAGCATATTTTTTTTTTAATAAAAGGCTCATGGATTTTAAGAATTTTAATCTAGGGAACAGCATGCTCCCCTGGACCTCCGCTGGAGCCGCCCTTGGGCCACTTTCTTACTTCTGACTACGCTCTTACTGTCGAGGAAAGCGAAAAACCATAATATCTTTCTTGAATCCTTTCCTTTAATTGTTACTGTTACATCCGTACCGCAATTTTTCAATGTTTTTCATTAAAGCCACTCACAGAGAACAAAGTTTACAACACGATATAATATATCTGTTTAGTATCTTATAAATCACTATAAACGACTAACAATCTACTGCAACATGTGTCTGTCATATGATATTTATTTCGCGCCAGCTCTACTAACTCTACGCATGACGTCAGCGCCGCCATGACACCATGCGCTATATCCCCCCCCCCGTTGTCACTTTCAGAATCACTTGACCACATATCGACAGTAAAATGATACTTTCACGGTGAAATATTTCACTACACTCACTCTATTCACGTTTCGAGATAGGTAGAAAATTGTTTACAATTGTTGACAATTCCATAACACAACTGCACAAGTGTAGTTGTTGTGTTATGGAAAGAGAATACAGAAAGTTCAGTAATTACCAGTGCCTCGCTAGTTACTACAAGTTACTTTATGTTACACAATATCTACACTTGTATAATTTATTTGTACACTTGTTGGACTTGTATTGTTTGTGTTATAGGCCCCAGGTAGAAAACAATAATAGTAAATTGATAATGTTCAAGTAGAGTACAGGTACAAGAAGATTAAAACACCAAACAATAAATTAAAACGTCTTAAAATACCTACTCAAAAGGGAGTACCTCAGGGCCCTTATATAATTGGTCAGGATCTGATGATCTGTGAGAAAAAAAAACTTAATTTTGATGGGCATCTGCACGATTTTGAAATCGGTTTTTTAAAATTACTTTTATTATAACATTTTTACCCTAATAACTTCTAGTACTCTATTTCCAATATCCTCAAATAAAACGAGCAACTGTAGTTAAAACGTAACGCTAAGGATAAAACAGCCAGTAAAGAATATGTGTGGCATTTTTAATCTAAATTCACTCTCAGAATAAGCTGTCAACGTATTACAAAAACTACTTCGATGAATATTTAAGCAAAAGATAAAATAAATATGGGTTGCCTGCTCTTTTAGTTAATGGCACTGGCAAAGTCAACAAGCCAGTCTCTTTGCCCGTGCTTGGTAGCGAGTTTTAACCGGATTTACGACAGCTGATCTCAGTAGTTGATAGACTATATCCACGAAAAGATATGCGCAGTAAAAGATGTGCGTCTTTTTATCGCCCAGGAAGTGGGGAAGTGTCTATTAGGCATTCAAATGACCTCTCAAAATGCTGCCAGTGGGAACTGACAGTTTAGATATGGCAACCCTGTGGACCTGTTTCAATTGACAGGGTCAATGATACATATATAGTTATATAGATTGCTTAAATCAGGTTGTTTGCGAGTGGCCATATTGCCTGGCAAGTCTTTATTAATTTGAATCGGTTTAGCAAAAATGTGTTTTAAACCAATTTTCAGCCTTTGATTGTTTGTGTTTAGTTTTAAAAACATGGATAATCAATCTATATAAATATCTACATCATTGACCCTGTCAAATCACCAGGCCCATCTCATCTGCTTTTAAATGTAGAGTGGACAAAGCTGCAATTAATTTAATAATAGTGAATGATATTTGCAAAATAACACTCGAAAATTTTACCATAAGCCTTTAATTTCAGTTTAGGCTTAATTCCTTTATTTCTTCTAATGACTTTTGTTAGATTTTAGTGTGTAAAAAGTAAAAATTCTATGCCAACAGCAACACTACGGCTGGTCCCTGACTTGCCAAAATTTTAAAATATTTCGGGATATAAACAAAGTGTGATCCGAATTCAGATTGGAGGCCGTACCCTAACCCAAAATGTTTTAAATAAACCACTCACACAATAATTTAAATAAAAAGTGATTCAATTGAAATTTTATAAAAATCATTACTTGATTTTTCCAAGCCGCTTTCTAACTTGTCTTTAAAAAAAATCAAATTACCGATTTTATAAAAACTCCAACACAGGTATATAGTCCAAAAATAAAAATATTAACACCACTAAATATTAATTAAATATTATATTTTTAAAAAACTAATGTACGACCCCAAATAGAATATTTTTTGTCAGCTCGATTTTTCATTCCTTGACATCACACCCTTCGTTAGCAACGGACGAAGGGGCCACCGTGTTGTTTACGAACCGTGGTCTTTACCTATTATTTTGTTTGGAATGCCTAATGCTAATTGTTTCTTATAGTGGGGTAATTAAATATCCATATCCGATGCATTTTTGCCTCTGAAGCGTTTGTTTATCCACATCGGATAAATCAACTAAACCTGCATATGCGCTTGTTTACACCTGTAATATCTCTTATTCTCTAGTTTTTAAGAAGTTTCACTTCTCCCACGCGAATTTATTTATTTATTTTTTTTTTTTTCAGAACTACTCTTTTCACTGACTTATGATATGTTATCCCCATATAACTCTTCATGGTTATTTACTACAATGTTTTTCATTTCTACATGATCTAGGCGTGTACAATCTCGTAAAGCACAAGATATCATTATGTCCTCAAGGTCTTTCAACTAACATTAAATAAAAATGAAACGAATGTAATAAAAATACAGAAAAATGAAACACATATACCACAAAACTTATTTAGTGAACAATATGACGCAGGTGATACCGCTTCAGTCCACGAGTAGCCACTCCTCTCCGTACTACCTCCATGGTTTTAACGAATATTTTATTGTCGAACGAAATCAACTTGACTTAACTAACTTCCTTCATAAGATTTGTAAAAACCTCTATATATTTTGTTCGTTTTCATTTTCTCTATCTAGACCTAATGATGGTCAAACCGGTTGCCATATATGTGTGGTGCCTACTGATTTTTTTTTATTTATCTTATTACTTTACAATGTTGCAACTCTGTTAAAAAAGTTTATCACACACAATTTAAAATTTTTAAAGGGTAGCTTCTCTGTCCAAATATTTAAATAAGGAATGATGTTTTTGTAACAGAAATAAAAATGGATATGTTCGAGGAATTTCTTTAATACTTTAGCGTAAATGAATTAATTGGTATCCCAAAGGAGTTCACTCAATTAAATATAATATTGTTTTAATTTCAGTGAAAATTATTACCCAGAATACCAAGCCCCATCGTACGGATTCTATGATGAATATTCCGGATATCAATCAAGATCAGCAAATCCACGTCCAGCCTTTGATCACGATACACCTTTTTTCAATCAACACTTTCCATTTTTTCAAAATCACAGAGGAGATCATCAGCAAAATATTGCATTTAGTTTTGATCAAGGAAATGAAGATCCTGGAGTAAACATTAATTTTTCTTTAGATCGTGAACGTAATGCCTTTGTAAGTATTATTCTTGTTAATTTATTATCAATCTATTTTTGTGTGGAATGTAATCCCAGACCCTTAAACCTAAACAAAAAATCTGATGTGTCCAATACATGACTTTCCTATCTGGTTATTATAGGCTTTTTCCGGTTATTTTGTACAACCTATTGCAGCACCTTTATGAACGTTTAGAGAATAAACTAAATATATACTTTTTCCACATACATCTAACTCGAAACATTTTTCTATAGATATTTATTGAAAACGAAAATACTGAAAAATTTAAATTTAGCACTTTTCATCCAATTTTTTCAGTGCGGTCCATTTTAGAAAAATCATGTAAAAAACAAAAATTATAGAGATCGATATCGCAAACAACTTTTAGTTTAACAATTTTCTTAAAAATCAGAATTTTGCACATTTTGTCAAATTTTGACATAAAGCAAAAATTATAGATAATAATATTATAATTAACTTTTATTTAAACAATTTTCTTCTCCAAACATAAATAACAGATATATTCCATAAAATATAAAACCGGCCTCTCATAAAGTACTCCCCCAGATGTTCCGCCTTTGTCCAAAATCTAATCACTTCACGTCATGCTGAAATAAAACTTAAGTTTAAAATTTTTAAATTTAAAATTCTTCAAAATTCAAAATTTACACATTTTCTCAAATATCTCGAATACGGTCCATTTTAAAAAAATATGTATGGAATAAAAATTATAGAGAATTATATTGTAACTTTTATTTAAAGAATTTTCTTCTTCAAACGTACATAACAGATATATTCCATAATGTATAAAAATGACCCCAGATGTTCCGACTCTGCCCAAAATCTAATCCTTTTACTGCTCTGCCCAAAATCTAGTCAGAGAACTGGAAGGCGGAATAAAGCTACACACGCACCCACGCACACACATACACATAAAATAGTAAAAAAAATGTTTGGCAGTTTGCCAATCGTAAACAGATGGGTTGTATTCTTCCTCTGCCCAGTCGGTTACATCTGTGATGACCTAATCAGGGAACTTCGTTGACAGCAGAAGTTTGATGGTATCTTCGAAGTTTGCAGTTTTTATGCTATTCTCTTTGATAAACGCACCAATACTGCGGTGTGGATCTCTTGAAAGAGAGTTTTTGAAGTCTCGCTGCCTGCTAGAATTCTTCGATTTCTCCGCAGTAAGATCTTCATGCATTTCTCTGTTTTTATCTTTGAGGTGCGATTTGTAGGTATCCTAGTCCTATTTGGGTTCTGTATTTCTTGCCTTATTAAAAGATTTTCTTGCCAACAACCTAAGGTGGTCCAACTTGTGACACCACTATGCGGTAGTCATATGATCGTGTTGGACCAGCTTCAGGGAGCAGGATTTCTTATAGGCATTCTTTATTGTGCTTTGGATAGTGTTTGAGTACTTTTCCAAAGCATTTGTTATTGTTTGGTTTTTGGCCTCCACCTCTCTTTAAGCCTCTTCTTAAGAAGGTGAGCATAGGTTACCCTGTCCGTCTTCCTAGAGTTTTGAGATAACGTGGAGGTCAAATTTATTTTGAATGTTAATCAGCGGTGGTCAAGCCATATCAAAAGGTAACCATTCTGCTGATTTACTATCCAAAAAGACAGCCAACTAAATACTTATTGTATCTGTCTCTTTCATTAGACTAACAACATTGATCTTGCAAACCTAATACCAACCCTTATGAAATTCAAGGAAAGATGGTATGAAACAAAAGAGCTGCAGCGTTGCTAGTGAGCTTTGTTAACCTGATATTACTAAGCAAACAAATACCTGAATATTATTAAATAAAATCTGCACTTTGCAGGAGGCGCGAACAAGCATACAATCTATGATTGCTCAAAGCTCTCATCTATTGGGAGTTTTGTGTTCAGCGAGAATTGGCTGACAATGGCCAATATGAGGCACCTCTCGACGTCGTTGTATAATACATTAAACATGAATATATACTCTGGCTGACGAGTTAAGCGATGCCAATCAATTCAGGAGGATACTTAATAGGCTTAGTGAGGCCTAAGTGCAGATATAGATGTATTAGTTTGTAATTAGTTCATTAAGGTTCATAAATAATATTCCAGAATGGAACAAAATTACTCATTAAATATTTTATTTTATAGACCGATGAGGACCATAGTATTGAAGATAAAGAAAAACAAGATTTGCACGAAAATTTTGGAATGGAAAAATTTAATTTTGATCAAAATCCTAGTCTTAGAGAGGGAACACAAAGCGCTGAAGAAATTGATGCAGAGGACGAAAGGGTAAGCATTTTTGAAGATTTTTATAGCATTTGTACTGACATAAGTTCTTTTTAACCCTTTATTGTGCACTGTACTCGCCAAAAACTTTCTTTAATTCCACTCCTCGTATATTTAATCTCACCTGGCGCTCTTACCATATGGATACAATCTTAAGGCCCCAATCACATCACTCCAAATGGACTAAATCCGTTTGGACGTCATCCTAATGGATTTTACGTTAGGAAACTATTCATTCACGTTCATTCCAAATGGATGCCTGAATAATGTAGTTTTTTTGTATTGTGTGGTGCATAGCTAACTCGCGAGGTTTCCCATTCATACTGGGTCCACCTGGCAGACTGCTACCAGAGTTCATGGGATGTTTGGGACGTTATGATATATAGCAAAACTACCACGCCACGACAAAACATTCAATTTTTAATATTCACGAAGAGATTTTGGAATGCAGTCTCTCCATTTGAATATTTTGCGTGCTCCTGAATGGCTTCCTCTATATTGTTGGTTGCATACACAACAGTTTTCGTTTGTCGCTTGCTTCTTTTACGCGTTTCCTGTGTTGTGATGAGGACGACTTATCTGAAATGTATCAAATGTGACGCTAGATTATTTTGACTGGAATAAAAACTATTTAAACCATATACAGTATGTCTACTTAAGTTGGAACCATATGGAAAACATTTTTATTATTGATTTTAGGAAAAAAGTTATTCTTGATGAAAAGTCCTGCATGACCCAAAACTTAAAATACAGTCATCAGATATCAAATTTTTCAAGCCGTATACGAGGTTTGTCAAAAAATATGAATTTTGCTCAAGAGTAAAGTACGTTTATTTTTTTACAAAATCGAAAATTTTCATTAAGAAATTTGCTAAATTCTTCACAAACATCAACAAAAGGAAAGCGTATCATGTTTATAGTAGCTAACGTAATTTATAACGTTTTCAGATATTTACAATCAATGTGTAGAGTGTAGAGTTTATAAAAAATAAGAAAATCTGTATTTTCAGATAGATCGGTGTAATTGCATATTTGAATGTAATATTCAATTTTAATCAACTTTTCTTAATGATAATTTTCGATTTTGTCAAAAATAAACGTACTTTACTCTTGAGCAAAATTCATATTTTTTGACAAACCTCGTATACGGCTTGAAAAATTTGTTATGTGATGACTGTATTTTAGGTTTTGGGTCATGCAGGACTTTTTATCAAGAATAACTTTTTTTCCTAAAATCAATAACAAAAATGTTTTCCATATGGTTCCAACTTAAGTAGACACACTGTATAAATTCAACTGATCAAATTTGACCATCTTCATATTCGTCGTCCTTACATGCCGCTCCTCTGACGTTTTTAAGTACTTATATCAAAATTTACGAAAATAAATATTATTATTACCAATTTCTAAAACTAGTGTGTTTTGTTGACACTTTTGATAAACATGTATATCAAAATTTACGAAAATAAATATTATTATTACCAATTTCTAAAACTAGTGTGTTTTGTTATGGACACTTGTGATAAACATGTATAAATTTAACAATACTATACCTAGTAGGTTGTTCGTGTTACAAGGTACAAGATTTTTCATTTTTTAATTCGATATTTTTCTCCTAACTATAAGTAAGTCTGTTTATAAGCACTCTTATCCTTCGAGACCTTCGAATATTCTGCAAATCATGCGGATGGACTAAGGAAGACTGCTTATTTCTCCTGTTTTGATGAAGACTTGTAGAAGCTGCGTAGAATATTAGAAGCTATTAAATAGAGATGAAGCATAGCTTGCTTTTATTATAGATCCAATATCTCCTCTTTTTTTTTCCTTTTCAAATTGTTTCCCAGTTTTGAATACTCCCGACATTGGCTAGCTAATATCCTTTTTACATTGAACTATAGTCCACTTTATTCCCTGTAATAATTTCTATTTTTAATTTAATTGTATACACTCAATTTAATAGGCTAATTATACATTTTTGTCGGACTAGGATTACTTTACGGCTTTCCGATAAATAATGGTACTGAATCCTTATTAATTTGTGGTTTTTGTCGTTTGACTTTATACTTTTTTTTTTTTGTTAAGACCTTATGATGGTCTTTGGGCCGAAACCGGTAACCTCCATTTATTTATTAAAAACGAAATGGTACAGGTTTTAAGTTCTATTTTTAATTAAATTATAAAATTTAATGTGTATTTTTTAGACGAGAACGTTCCATTTACTGCCGCTTAAACCGTTGATGCCGTCATATCCACAACCCGACTATCAAAATCCAGCTCATTTTGATCCATTAAAACCAGAAAATAAAAAAGACCTTGTCAAATTCTTAGACAAACAGAAAAAATTGTTCCTATGGCCGAAACCAAACACTGATAAAATATACTATAAGACGGACCCTAAAGAAATATATAAACCAAAACCTGTTGAAAACTATTCATATGAATCTGAAGAGTATCATTCTGAAGAAAAAAAAGATCCGGTAAGTGTTGACCTAGTGTATAAACTCTATGCTACAAAATCTGTTAAATTATTTATAAAAATTGACGTTCGAGTTCTAAGCAGAAATAAGTGTCTCTGAGATATTTTTAATAGAGGCGGATGAACACAACACAATCCAACCTTGTCAGATTACACATTTTTAAATACTGGGAAGAAAGAAGAAGAACTTCAAAGGTTAGAATTTCGAAAAACATATTTTGTTTATTTTGAGGTATCGAGTTGTATGTTGTATACGTATTTAATTTCTAATACTGTATAATTATGGCTGTTTATTGTTTCCATTGAAAAAAAAATGTTTATTTCACAAGAATATTTAACTCGAAAAATATTTGTCTTTGCCAATCTATAGAGTATAGAATCAAATTAATATCGCTACTATTGTTATCAGATGCTCCAGGGCCTATCTCTAAATCTGTATCTACTGTAATAAATAAAGAGCAGATTTGTATGCAAATGTATATTTTATGTAAAAACATATTATATGTATTTTTTGAATATTTTAGCAATTTTTGAATATTTTAGCAATTTTTGAATATTTTAGCAATTTTTTGCAAATATTCTGCATATTTTGTAATTTTTTACAATTAAAAATGTTTCCTAAAATAAAGCTTTGAAACGCTGCCTCTGCACAATACGGACTATCTCAACTATTAACTGTTTCAAACGCAAATTACAGTTTTTTTTTGACTGAAACTATTCTTAAACTAAAATCGGAAACGCTGCCGCTCAGTGTTGCCAGTCTAGTACAATTGTACTAGATCTAGTACATTTTCTAAAAATCTGGTACACTGGAAGCAGAATCTAGTACTTTTTTCTTTTTCAGCGTGTTACCATTTGACGCGTGTAAAAGATATTGTTGGGATCATGTTGGGATCTTGCTCCTCGTTTTGTTTTCGTTCGCTAAAAGCCATTTTTTCTCCTTTATGAACCAAACCCTTAGATAAAAGATGCCGGAGATGTAACATTGCACATCGCGCATGTTGTCTATTCCAACCCTAAGTAACCCACCAATTAAAAAGCATAGTGTTCACGACGCCACCCGAATTGCTCCGAAATTTCTATTCTATGCTTGTCTCCGCGTGAGTAAATCATTTATGGACCGCCGTTTTTTGAATTATTTGTTGGTGTTATTAGCAATTTAAAGTGTTTTAGTTATTCAATTTCAAGTTGAAAATGCCACGATGTATGGTGAAAAATTGTATATACAAATAATATAAGTGTCAATGTTATAAAAAATAAGAAATATATTCGTTTTCAGTGGTAAATATTTGTTGACGTTTCGACATAAAGTCGCCATGATTCTTTGAGCTAAATACTTCAGATCCGCATTAAGGGGTTTCAATAAATATTAAGCATCAAATATATAATTTACAAAAGAGTAAAATTTTAAATATTTAATCTAAATAAGAAGTAAATATGCATTGTTAATAACGAAATTTTCTTTTTAAAAAGTAGTTTTATAAGCATATTTACTAAAGGTGTTTTTAGTTTTTTATTAGGTATTTTTTCAAGAATATTAGATGAAGTACATGTTCACCTACTTAAAATTTTAAGGTTCATTTTATTTGCGGTTAAATCGGAAGTGACATTTGAATCTTAAGTCTTAAAACAAAGTAAAACGCTCAATATGAAATTAGTCATATTAGTAGTAAAATATTACATTGTAAACCCCTAAACAACTCGAAAAAAAATCTTCGTTTACTAAAAAAATCTAAATTCTTGCAATATATATTATACAATCGAATGCGGTTTCAAAGATAACAGGATCAATAAATCCGAATCTCTAAATTTTGGAGCTAAATGCTCGGATAAAAGCATGCGACCGATAGGAGTAACAAAAATAATCGATTTATCGTTTTCATGAAAATTGATTTATCCGTTATAATTAATCGATTATTTTTAATCGATTATTTTTGATTAATCGAACATTTTTAATAAATTGTTTTAGTTTTTTTAGGTAATGGAATAATCGATTATAAAGGGATTACAAAAAGAGTAGATTTATTCAAAATATTCGATTTATTGAAAATAATCTTCTTTTTTTTTAGAAAAATCGATTTATTGTTTAATCGACTTTTTAAATTAATCGATTATTTTCGATTTACCGAATATTTTCGATTAATCAATTATTTTCGATTAATCGATTATTTTCGGTTTTTCAAAGGTATTCGAATAATTTGTTATATTATATAATCGATATTTCGGTTATTTTTTAGAATTATCGATTTATCGGTCAATCAGCTTTTTATTAATCCATTATTTTCGATTTTTCAAAGAAAATTAAATAATCAATTTTAAAATGAATATGAAAAAAGAAAAGGATTATTTGTAAATAATAATTCAGTTATTTTTTTTTAGGAAATACGATTTATCGTAGAATCGGCTTCTTAATTAATTGGTTATTTTCGCTTAATCGGTTATTTTCGCTTAATCGGTTAATTTCGATTAATCGATTATTTTCAATTTTTCAAAGGTATTCTAATAATTTGGTTTAAAAGAAATGCGAAAAAATAGTTTATATGAAAATAATCGATTGATCGAATATAATCGGTTATTTTATGTAATAGATATTTCGGTTATTTTTTAGAATTATCGATTTATCGGTCAATTAGCTTTTTATTAAACGATTAGTTTCGATTGTTCAAAGATAATTAAATAATCAATTTTAAATGAGATATGAAAACAAAAGGATTATTTGAAAATAATCGATAATTCAGTTATTTTTTTGGAAAATCGATTTATCGTAGAATCAGCTTCTTAATTAATTAGTTATTTTCCCTTAATCGATTATTTTCGATTAAGCAATTATTTTCGATTTTTTAAAAATGATCGAATAATTGATTTTAAAGGAAATAATTCTATTTTTTTAAATTGATTTATCGATTATTCGACTTTTTAATTAACCGATTATTTTAGATTTTTCAAAGATTATCGAATAATTTGTTTCAATGGAAATATGAAAAAAAAAATAGATTATTTAAAAATAATCGATTATTTAAAATAAACGATAATTCGTTTATTATTTTTTGTAAACACTGATTTATCGGTTAATTGGCTTTTTAATTAATCTATTATTTTTGATTTTTCAAAGATAATCAAGTAGTCGATTTTAAAGGAAATACGAACAAAAATAGATTGTTTGAAAAAATCGATTAATCGAAAATAATCGATTATTATTAATAATCAATAATTTATGTCGATAATCACCCACTCCTAGCGACCCAATGACTTTTAATAGGTTTAAATTTTAAAATATCTGGTTTCAGACATGCATTTCTAGAGTTTTATGTGACTCATCCTCTATATTAATTAATATTATTCCTAAAGAAACAATTTTTAATATATCTTTTTCTGAGGTTATAATACAAAACAGCATTTTCTCATTTTGACTAATTTTTAATTTATGTGATAGTCGTAGAAAAAATATAATGTTCAACTCACAAGGTTTGATTTGCAGTATTCGCCTGCGCACATGCTTTTTTTATAATACTCCTAGACAATGAGTACCATTTTTTACTCGATTAACAATATTCTATTTCAACACTTTACTGTAGTCTCTTACAGAAAAGTCCGTTGTAAATAATAGCTAACGAAATATTCTATAGAAGGTCTTCTCTTTACATAAAATGTCGTGGCATCTGTTTGATATTAAAAAATCACGTTAAATTTATTTCATAATACAAAATTCCATTGAACGTACATTTTAAATAAATCTAATAGTTCATTATGATGCTAATAAACAAAGTCCGGTCCCTGTCACAGAGTTCGGCTCTCTGTCCAGTTCCCCCACTCCGTTAACCTTTCTTTAGAAATTGGCAACATTTGCGCAGGTTAAACACCGGTGTATGTTATATCTCTGGTCTCTTTTATCTAAGACCAAACCACATCACAATTAATTCGAAAATCTGGTACATTTTTTATTCTGGCAACACTGCTGCCGCTAGTAGAATCACTTGAATTAATCAATAACGCAGTAAAACTTTGTACACAGTCAAAAAAATAACTGCAGCTTTAAATAAAAATAAGGGTTACCAGATTTTTACAAATACAGGGTGTAACTAAATAAGTGCAAAACATTTAAGGGGGTGATTCATCATCGAAAAAAAGATAGGATCTTTCATATAAAGAAACTTCATTGGAGCATCCCTTGTTAAGATACGGCCCCTTAAAGGGGGTACATAAAATTTGTTTAACAATTTTTTTCACAAGCACTAAACAAGTTACAATATTGAAATTAACCTGTCATTTTCTACTACCTAAAAGACACTTAGCCAGTAATTTATCTAAGACTATAGGGTCTATTCGCTGGAAAAAACATGCTCATCTATACAGATAGCAGACAAGCACTACTCACCCTGAACATACGACGAATTTATTCAGGGTTAGTACTAGAATGTCACGAAGCTTTGGCCGAAGTATCCATCAACAGTGTGGTCACCTTAAGATGGATCAAAGGCCAGGCCACATCGAAAGGTAACCGTCTTGCTGACTCACTAGCCAAGAAAGTAGTCAACCAAATACTTTTTGGACCTAGCCCTTCTATTGGCCTGACAAAATCGGTAGTGACAGACCTAATTAAAGAACATTCCCTTGTGAAATTCAAGGAAAGATGGAAACAAGAAACTGCAGCCCTTAAGTTATCCTGACAACACTGCAGCAAACAAATATTTGACTATGACTAGACAGAATCTGCGCCTAGTCACAGGCATTCTGACTGGTCATTGCCAAATACGGAAGCATCTCCATATCATGGGACTGTCAGAATCCACACTCTGCAGAGGGTGCGAACAAGAAGATGAGACCATCGAGCATATCCTTTACGATTGCTCGACGCTCTCATTTATTAGAAGATTTGTGTTCGGCGAGTATCGGCTAACACCGGCCGATATAAGAGAAGCACCTCTTGGCGACGTTGTCAACTACATTAAATCTGTAGGCTTGCTCACGAGCTAGGAGGTGCCTATCATCTTAGGAGGATGC